AAACCCATGAGATCTGATCCTGCCGGAGCGACGGGTTCCCCAGTGAGGGTCTCACTCGAGTCACTCGCGTCCTCAGGGGTGGCTGCTGCGTCCAGTAGCGCCGCGGAGCCTCGCGCGATTGTCAGTGTCTCGCTTCTGTCTTTCGGCAGGACACCTTGTGCCTTCATTTTCGCCTCGATACGTCCCGCGATTCCCTCTATCTCGTTCGGCGGGGCACCGTGTTCCTCCACGTTCGCCAGGGTGCGTCGCGCGAGTCCCCGTATCTTCACCTCCGCTCGTCCGTTCTTCTCAATATCCAGCTTCTCCCGTTCCAACCGTCTCTCCTCTTGTCCCTTCCGTAGCGCGTTGACGCGTCGCGTGGCTTCAGCTATCTCCAGATCCATTTGTTTCTCTATCCTCTCCAATACCTTCCGCTCCATCTTCTCCTGCTCCTCCCTTCTCTCTCCGCCCACTTCTTTGGAGTCTGTGTCTTTCGATTGAGTCTTTTCCCGATACTCGCGAAACGTATCTTGCGCATCCTTCTCGGACTTTTCACAATGCGCCAACATACTTTTCTCCTCTTCCAACCTATTCTCCAATCGATTGATCTTCTCTAGTATCTCCTCCTCTTCCCTATGCAGTTTTTCCAGTTCCTCCACTGGATTGACTGGATTGTTCTTCTCCTTGTGCTGTTTCACCCATCTTGAAGCGACCTCTTGTCTTCCCAGCTCGGAGTCGGGATCCAACCCTTCTTCTCGCATATTCTTCGATATCACCTCCATCTCTTCTTTCACCATTTTATCTCTTTCTTCTACCAGTTTAGCCTTTTTTTCCATCATTCTCTTATCTTCTTCCAGCCGTTTTATCTCCTTTTCCAGCGGGTTCATCTCTTCTTCCTCTCGTGTCTTCGCTTCTTCATCTCGTTTCATATTCTCTTCCAGCCGTTTTCTCTCTTCTTCCCTTCGTTTCTTCTCATTCTCCTCTTGTTTCTTCTCTTCTTTCTTCCGTTGAGCCTGTCTCTGTTTCTTCTGCTGTTTCTTTGACTTCTTGTCTTCCTGCTGCTCCTGTCCTCCATTCGCTACGGCAGTCACTTCCTCCTTGACGGGGGTCGGATTCTCTTCATTTGATTGCTCGATAGCTTGGCCAGGATCTCCTACAGCTTTAAGTTGTTCGGCCGAGGAGGTGTCGACAAGTTGTTTAGCCGCAGATTCAACATCCGACTCGGAAAGGGAAATTTTGGATGGATCATTGTTCTCGGTCTCTGACGTTGCCCCAGGCAGCTCAACCATAGCCCTTGTCGGGTGACTAGACTCCTCCTTGCATAGAGCCTCAACCAGGTCTAGATTGAAAACATGGGGGCCTGTTGGTATTGGTGGAGTGCGATCGTGCGATAGGGGAGAAGAGACGTCTCGAGACCGTTCAACAATCTCTGGCGACAACTCATAGAACAACATAAACACATCTTCGTCCGGCTCAAGGACTTTCTTCTCGGAAACTTGATAGCCATTAAGATCACTGAGTCTCCAGAAAGACTCCGTGTCGGTCCCTGGCGCATCAGCCTGGGGTCGTCCTTTTGTCGTCTGCTGAGTCCAGCCAGATTCCGGGTGCTGTCTGTAACAGACATAGTGTCCACTTGAATGGTCCTCACCACCGTGTGCTACGACAGCTCGCAGCTGGTAGATTTGCCCCTTTATTTTCGATGCTTGCTGATCCCTTGCCGCCATACTAGCTGTCGGATCAGTCGGCCATTCCTCCACTTCCTCGGCGAGCTGACCCGCGCTCCCAACCTGCCAAGGGCCAAAATCGAACTTGGGCGGATACTCGAACTTCCCCCTGAGCTTTCTCGCCTTGGTGCCTTCCATCATCGATCGGTTAATGTGGAACACCAAGACATTCGGAAATCTCGAAAAAGAGACCTGCTGTGTCTTGGACGATTTGACCTGCTTTAGGATTCCACATTTCTCGACTGTCTCGTCATCATAATCCTCGTTCTCAATTGCTTCGCGGATTTTCTCAATTGATGGATGTGTGTTGTCAGCTGACCGAGAATCCGGTTTCTTAAGCGCCGAGTAGGCCTCGAGTATGGTACACTTGCTGCAATCAACCTTCTCCACAATTCCAAGGGCGGTGTATGCGTTGAGACTTGCTTCCAGACTTGTCACTTTGCGTCCGGGGGAAAGGAGGAGGGTTATCGAGAAATATGGGACAGAGCGATAGGCCGGGCAATACTTGCACTTTAAGCACGTCGTACGATGCATCTCAAAACCCTGCAGCGGATTTCTGCCGAGGTCAGGCTCGGGCCGAGCTCCGGAGCCGGCCGGTTGACTAGAACAGCCGCTACCGCTACCATGTTGAGTGCCGGCCGAATCATCGTTCGGAGAGTTGTACTGCTTATAGTCCGTCAATGCCAGCGAGACGGGGGCTGGTTTGAGAAGTTCCTCCTTGACAACTAGGCACAGTGATAAGTAGTATTCGTGCGCATCTTGTTCATCCGTTGTGGGCAGGAGTCTGAGCGGCTCCTTGACCTTGAACACCTTGCCATTGTTCACGGGATTAGCAAGGTCGACGAGGATCGAGCGTAGGGTATCGGCAATCGGGGTTGCGTTGCCGGCTTTATGCTGTTTTGTCGATACTGAAGATAGGTATGCCGTGTATGCTTTGAATATTGAGAGACCTTGAAGAATGCTGTTATGGAAGCACTCTTTCCCTGTTGCGTTCGGCAGACCGGGAGGCTGGTTAGGAGCCATGGTTATGGTTCTCAGGGCGACTCCGAATGGGACACTGAAAGTACTGCGGCCAGCCTGCGAGACGGATTGGATGATGGTTCTGTGCTTGTCGATGCCCAGCAAGCGTTGCAGGACATGACTTTTGGCGACATGGTCATAGGCATCATGAGCTCGTGACTGGGTCGGAAGCATGTGTCTTGGAAAGAGCGGCGGGTTGAGCAAACGGTCGATAGCGTACAGAACGCGCGCCGGGATGGCCGACACCAAGAGATCCCACAGGAAGGTGGACAGCGGTGCGAGTGCGCCTTGTTGGACGCCGAACTGATAGACAACAGTCAAGGCAAGAACGACAGCCGGCACAACGACGGCAAGGTTTCCAAGACGATCCCAAAGTCCGGCATACGAGTAGTAGGGCTGGTATAGGTTATAAGGACCGTGAACCTCGGGTTCATGCGGATACGGGTTCTGCATGCGCCGGGTATCTGAATTCATTCTGCCGTCGCGGAAATGGGAATGACTGCCAGGACAAACCCTGGAGCCAGTCCTGATGTGCGAGGTGTATCTGTACCCGATCTAAGTCGATGAATGCGGCCGAGGCGTCTGTCTGGAGGCACTGTTGAGGACAGACTCCTGCCATGACCGGTCGAAGCTTCAGCTTTGCCGGGACGACAGTGGCGGCAGTAACAGCGGTAGCGACAGCGATGTGGCAAGACGAGCGCAGTCGGGCGCTGGGCGATCTTTCTGTGGATGCAATGGTTCGGGAACGTGGTAGTCGGGGTGTCGGGTACCAGGTGGTTGTGTCCAGGCGTACCTGGATTATTTCGTACATGTGCATGTCGCGCGGAACCAGGATGGAAAGCTGCCACTGCATTGGCACGTGGGGCGTTGAAAGCCACGACAGCTTGGCGCAAGGCACCACCGACCTCATGCCCTGCGGCCCCTGCCTGCCCCGGGCAGCTGGGGTCACTCTATCCCGTATCTGGTAAGATAAGATGGCATGGGGGCTCTCGCCTCCACCAAAAAAACCATAGGGCCCCGCCAAATCTTTAAGACCGGTAAACGGCCCAAAGGCAAACAACCGCGATTACCCAGAAGTGAAACAACATTGATCACGGCTGGGAAAAGATGGGAAAAGGCGGTATTTCAAAGTCAAAGAGAGGTACGTACGCAAATTGTGAAACCTTTTTCGCGGGAATCTTCTTAGAAACTAATGGTCCCAGGTCCGTCGTTGCACTCGCGCGCCGCAAGACGAGAGACCTCGCCCAGCATCGACACCGACAAGTCACTAAAGAATGTTCGGACACCTCAGGACTCGGTCGACCGGCGACCCACAATCCTCGCGGCGCATCACAACGGCGGCGTCCAAAAGGCCATCAAGCGTAAGCAGGTGATGAGCTCCAAGGCCAGGAAGCGGCACGAGAAGAGCATGGATCGCGCCGAGGCCATCATGGACAGGACGGCCACCAAGGTCGAGAAGAGCAAAGGGCACGCCAAGGTCATCTACTCGCGCCGGAAGACGTGGGAGGAGGTCAACAGCCAGGTCTATTCTGTCAGCCTGGGCGGCAAGAAGAAGACTTCCGAGGAGAAGCAGGCCGAAGACGACTACGTCAAGGCATTTTACACCGGCGATGATGACGAGGAGATGGACGAGGCTGCTGCTGCCGGCGTGACAGAGGCTGGTGCTGCTGCCCCGATTCAATCTTCATCTACGCCGCCTCTGCGACTACTACCGGTTGAAGGGGCTGATGAGGAGATTTTATAGCCGCTTCATTTTATGACATTTAACGTGGCGTTATTTTCCAGGGGTGGTGGTATAAAAAGTGTATGTGGGATTTGGTAGTCAGGCGTTCAGGTCAAAATTATATATACCACGCAGAATATAATGACTATAACTGGTTCAGTGGGACTTTAGGTATCTAGATCAGCAGTGAGTGTGACGTGATGCTGAACACATTGTTGAAAGCAATGTTGATAGCTCCCTCAACCATTCATTCTCTATCTTTCCTGTTTCCTACCCATCTCATGATATTGCAACCCCAGTTTTCAGATTCCATTCGGGTGACACAATGATTTTACCACCAGATCAGTTAAACGCCACCATCATCAAAAAGCAACGAACGAAAATTCCAAGCCAAGGACTAACTGACCGGTGGTTCGCTTTCAAAACTGTGTAATCTCTCTCCCATATCTTTTATTCTCACCACCGTCCCACCCACATCCAACTCCACAACTCAGTCCACCCATCATATAACCCACACAACCCACCGAAAGAAAACAACAAAACAGAAAAAAGAAGCGGGTTTAGCTCAGTTGGGAGAGCGTCAGACTGAAGCTAGCTCTTCCCCTTATATGAGGAGAAAGAACTACCCAAACTTCAATCCATCTATCTGAAGGTCGTGTGTTCGATCCACACAAACCGCACATTCTTTTTTTCCCTCTCCCTTCTGGAATTTATTCACACATACATCTATCTTCTTTACAAATTTACAAATGGTTCTTCCTAAATAAGTGAATAAAATAATTCCCCAAGATAAAACAAAACATTTTTGCTTAATTGGCCCTCTAGATACTGCTATCATATCGCGATCATGAAGTTGATTGGAAGTGCATTTATTCGAACAATATATGCATACGACCCCCACATTAATGTTGTTTTAACTCCGTAGAGTAAAAAGGGGTCGGTGTGTGTGTGTGGCACTGGTAAGACGAGCATGTGAAGACGTCAGTTCGGAACGACCCCAGACGATTCGTCCGTCCATCCATCAGCCCATCACCATCACCGTCCATCAAGTCATCAGTCCCCGGCCTTCCTCTTCTCATCGCTTAATGGGCAGAATTATCTGTTATTCTTCTTTTATTATTATTATTTTGGTTTTTCGAAGTACAATACAAGAGCTGCCGACAACTCTCTCCGGTATGACACCGATCTTTTTTGCAGATCAAGGAGCAACCCATGGCCAGATTGTCAGACACATCGTCATCGACCTCGACCTCAATCGAACTCAGGAGCTTTGTTTAGTCCTTGCCGCCGAAGCATATCAAAACCACCACATCGAAACCACAAACCCCACAAATCCATCGCAACTCGATGCTCATCCATATGTGCAGTTTTCCATCACTCGTCATGCAGGGCTAGATACCCTTCGCCGCCCGCGACGAGGTAAGCGCCATAATCTGCACTATTAAACGTGCCTCTTTCCTTTTGCCACGACACAGGGAAGCTATCCTCCTCCAAAGCTAGTTGTCTGTCCTGGGCTAAACATGGTGTCCGGCATATGGTCATAGTTAATATCCGACTCTGTCTTCAACGCAGGGGTATTGATGGACGGGAAGATTTGATCAGTCGGAGAGGTGTATAACGACGACCCTGGGGCGCGTGAGTTCTGGAATCAAAAACTACAAACACAACTTGGGGATATATTGCTTACCCTGAGAATAGGCCAGGCTGTCTTGCCTCTCTCCCGGCCCGAAGGCGTCGACTTGCACACCTTGCAAAGGTTGGTATGCCGAAGAAATGCTGGCGTTTCGACTGCACGGAGAGCCTGTGGGTATTGCAGCTTGGCCGTTCTGGCCGAAGTTCGGCGTAAATGCTTGGCCGAAAGGCTCGTTCGAGGTCTGCACCTGCACGAACCGTCTCGCTTCGTTTCTGAGCCACCGATCGATGTTCGGGTCGTTGCAGCTGCCGTGTGCCATCAAGGTATGCTTCAGAGTGTTGGTCTCCGTGACGAGATCGTGGAAAGTCTTGACCAGATGGTGATGACGCGCTGCCTCTCTTCTTCTGGTGTCTTCCAACTCTGACACATACTGCTTCTTCTTCTCCCTACATTTGCTGGCTGCAATGCGGTTCCGCTCCAAAAACTTGATTCTTTTCTGCTCTTCTTCGCCCGTGTCAGATTCCTTCCTTGCTCTTTTCCTCTTTCCCTTCCCGAGAGGGTTTTCTTGGTCAGGAGGGGTGATATCTGTTAACGCACTCGCAGATTCGGAAGTTCTCTGCGAGTCTGACTTGCTGCTCGAGGTCCTCCGAGTGGATGGCTGGGACATGTTGTCAGATAGCGCCTGCATTTGCCCCTGGATCTCGTCGTTATCATTTTTTCCCTCACACATGCCCGGGTTGACAAATAGGGATTTCTGATCTGCCACCATCGGCCCAAACTGTTCGGCGAAGTCTCCCCAATCGGTGCTTTGTGAGGCCAGTATTCTCCCCTCGCCAGATGTCGGTGACTCGCCCATGTCCAGTTGGCTGTTGTATCCTTGGAAAGACTGCAGGCTTCCGCCCCCACCGCCGTCTTCCGCATCATGGTCAGGACCTTGGTGATGAAAGTTGACTGGCTCCTCTGAGTCTATAAAGTCGTCGATAAGGAAATTCGATGGCGTGTCCATATCGTCTTGTCTCAAATGGCACACCCTGCTCCAGACTGCCGAGGGGTTAGCAATAAACGAATGATATTTAACGACTGGCCTGGGAGCGCCAAGAACTGCTCTGGCGGTTGTGGTGGATTGGCACGAAGAGAGGATCCGACGAGGACGGTTGCTGCCCAGTCAAGACAGGGAACAGGATGACGCACCGGAACGAGTGTCTGGAAACGTTGAAGCCAGGAGTCTGAAAGGCCGGATGGCCGGCTCGGCTGCCTCGAACCCTCGTAAAGTGTATTATAGGTGATAGTACTTGAACTTGGTCGGTCGACGACTCAGTCAAGCTATTCTGAGGTCCACAGAGGGTAAAAAGACGTAAGCAATGGCCAGGATTGAAACATGTGAAGCAGAATAGGCATTTTGTATAGAAGGTACGCTATTGGAGAGGATGTTGGTTCGACATACCTTGTTTCTTGCCCATGTGCTTTCCTCGGCCTATTTACACGAAGTTGCTGGACGATGGCGTGGTGACAGCTGCGTTGCCCTTTGTTGCTTGCTACTGTCTGCTGGCACGGACGGGTACAGGTTGTGACTGCGGCTTGTAAGACAGTAATCCGGCACTTGCGAAGCTCGTTGATTTCGGCGGGAATGTGCGCGGCAAAGAAGGTCGTACATTCCTCCTTTCGGGTTTGGGTCTGCGTGTTTGCGGGAGCCGTGCTCGAGGATGTTGAAATCCGGCTTCAAGAGGTGTCTTAGTGGGGGAGGGGCAACACGGGCCCGAATAGAGTTTGTTCGCAGGGAGATAAAGAAGACTGCAGACGATCTCAGATCCAATAGCTGAGGTACCTTTAGTAGGTACCTGTGCTTGGTACATCCCCGGGGCTCTCAGTAAAGATAGCAGCGCTCTCTTGTCCGGAGCTACAAGATAGAGCAAGGAAGTCTCAGGAGAAGCTCGGTGTACAGCTGGCCAGCCAGGGCAGTTCGTGCGTCGGTTGGACTGCACGACATGCACAAGTTGCTGCGCGGGGAACATTAAAGCTGCTGGGCGACAGGTGCTTACCGGTAGTTCTAGTGTTGTGCAGAAGGAGCTCCATGAGAGCTTGAGGTAGGTTCAAGGTGCGTCAGTTCACAGCTTGCTTCCCTGCCCGGCAACTGCGGGGAGGTGGGAGGTAGTGGCCACTCCCTTACCGGTATACCGAAGGAAGCACAAAGACGGGATTGTTGGGAGCTATCATGGCTGGACGGCTAAGACAATGGAACCTGGAAGTTATTGGGCTCGCCTCTGGGGCGAAAAGCGCAGGGAAGGTGTTCTCCTGTCATGGATCAACGGATACATGGTAGTTGGAAGATGGAGGATGCTTGCCTCCGTTGGCTTGCAACCGGGCACCCGACGGCAACCTGGAAGTAATCTAAAATGCGTGGGTTCCTGCCATAATATGCTTTGAGAGTGGCTGCAATGACATGCACCTACCTGGTAGTAAAACAGGACATTGGCCTGCGGGCAGGGCGGGGTACCTAAGGTCCGTGAGAGGCCGGGAAAGTCGCTGCCAGTCACTGACTGACAGTTTAAGGAGGTGCACGGCCTGGCGGGATCGGAATCTTGTCATGAGCTCTCATCTTCAGTTGGATTGTTCAAGAAGCATCAAACTTTGAAGCTACGCCTCCGGACATCTGGGTTTTATTCTTGCAGGTAAAAGCCCGGGAGACTTCCCATAACGCAGGGTCAGACATCTAACGGTATCCGTTTATCGGAGGGCGGTTCTTCACTTCGCTGGATGGAGCTGGGCTGGTTAGGATTGACTCTTTGATACTAGGTATTGCTTCTTGCTGCTAATCACCGACGTGGAATGAAGCTCAAAAAAGGATCGACAAGCACACGTGCCGTGCTGACGGGCATGAGGTCCAAGCCAGATCCAGATCCAGGCCCACGTCCCCGCCCTGTCTCGATCCGTGCGTGCACTGCAGCCAGTCCAGATCCACAGTTCAACAGCCGCACGACATTCGATTATCAGAGATCTACCCGGCTACCAGGTTGACGTAAAACGGTAAAACGGGCGGCTGGCTGGGCACGACGGTGATGGTGATGTCTGGTTAAACAGTGCAGGTCATTCCTCCCAACGTATCGAATTTCTCAAAGTTGAGGGGTCATACGATTCTACTTTGCCACTACTGCACTTCAGCTGCCGCACCAGACAAGCCGCACCACGCCTTCCCCATGCGTCTGCATTTGCAGTGCGTACCATAGCTCGTCGAAAATACGGGGGACACTGACATACCGTATCTGACCCTCTGACCCAGTCATACAGGGTCGAATTCGAAAGGAAGAAGAACCGCAACGGACAGCCCATCTCGGCTTCGCTTTTGTACAATAAGCCCCGCCGGTTTGGCGAGACACTTCATGTTATTGGCCTCGAGACGAGGGGAACCCGGAATCATATCTGTATATCGACTCAGCTGTAAGTATGTTAACTTGGCCGTAGATAAGGCACGTTACCGCTTCCTTAAGCAAGCAGTGTTAACGCAGGGAGGCCCTAGCAAGATGCTCCAGTTCCTTCCATATACTCGCAACCTTTTAAGTACATATCAAAATTTCGCTGGGCTTTAAATGGAGATGTCGGAGTTGTTTTCCTGGTGAGTGCGAGCCTCCAGCCTTGGCTGACAGGGACCGGTCCTGCAAGTTTGTCGATCGGGAGCATAGACCACATAAAGCATTGTAGCTCTTTTGCCGCGAGCAAACAAGAGCTCGATTAATTGATTGAACCAGAGGCGGAATCGTGGGTACTGTCTTGACCCTTTGATTTTTCAGTTCAGGTTTGTTCGCATTCAGTTCAAATTCAAGTTGTGAGGAGTTGAAGACGGGACCCATGCCGGGGCCGAAAACGATCGAGATTTCCGCTCCCGTCTGTGTAACATCCCGCAGCACCGCATCCTTAAGCGGCCCCACAAGGCCTTGAAAACCCCGGTCCCCTTCCGTCATAGCTCTTGGCAACCCCGCGTGGCCCCCAAATCGTAAACGCGCCCAGACAACGCGCTAAACTTTAACGCGTCTCCCTCTCTCTCTACGGCCC